ATACTGAAAGTGACAGTCAAATGGGGGGGGAGGAGCAGCGAGTGTGGGTAGGGTCAAATTGTAAGCCTTCAGAAAAATATGACGTTCAATTTGGCTGGAAAAGAGAATGGTTAATGATTTGTTATAAATTTGGCATTGAACGAGGTTTAATAGGCGTATGATGGGGTTGGAAAAGTCGGTGGGGGTGCGAGTGCATAAACACTCGTGAGCTGATAACATATTGTTACGAAAACCCCGAAAAATACCGTAACCCCCGCGTTTTAGGCCATTTAGATGGAAAAATTGGAAGTGTCCAATAACTGTGACATGCCGTCCAATAACTATCTCCAGCCGTCCAATAACTGTGTTTCTCGACCTCTGACTTTGAACCGACCGAAAGGGCGTAAGGCGTTGAATTCTTAGGCCACCTACAGTAGTAAAGTTTAGTTCGAACCTTCAGCTAGCCCATGAGCCCATAGGTACGTCTCATCTTCAATCGAGAGACGCACAGCGCTGCGTCAAACGAAAGTGCGTGCTTAACCGTCCCATAACTGTATCACCTACCCTATTTGCCAACCATTGTTTGCTTTCTCGCCTCTTAGAATCCCAAGACTAGAATAAAATGAATAAAATAGATGAGTAATTTTTGTCCACATTTTCTTTCAGTTTTCATCACTTTCACTTTAACTTTTATAGAAATGTGTACACCTACTTTCTGTAGTGATTACCCCCTCGTTATGCAAACGACCTCGTGTCTGTCTGTCTGTCTGTGCGTCCTGTCTGTCTGTTCCACTGAAAGGAGATGTGCTAGAGACTTGAAACCTACGGCAAATCCTGGCAACCACCCCTAAGGGTGTGAATGTGGGTATCCAAGGTTAAAAAATTCTCCCAAAAAGTATTTTTTTTTTTTTAATGTTCTCCTAAGGGGTAACTTGTCAAAGTAGAGCTCTGGGCGAAAATTTCTTCCGTTACGCTCTATCGCTAACCGTTTAGGCACTGGAGGGTCTTTTTTTGACGAAAATGAGCTAAAAATTGCCATAGTGAACAATAAATTGTACAACAAGCAGGGCCGCCCTTCCGCTTCGCTCCGCCGGCAACTCCGTTCGGCAGGGGCCGGGCCTGCTTGGCCTGCCGGCGGCGATGGGGGTGGGGGTGGGGGGAGAGTTTCCTTTCTATTTTGCGGTTTTTAGGCCTTTTTCTACAACTTATTGTTCACTATAGCAATTTTAAGCTTATCTTCGTCAAAAAAAGACCCTCTAGCACCCAAACGGTTGAAGATAGAGCGAAACGGACGAAATTTTCGCCTACGAGGCTCTACTGTTAAGAGTTACCCCTTAGGAGAACATAAAATTGGGAGAATTTTTGAACCTTGGATACCCCTATTCACACCCTGAGGGGAATTTTTGAACCTTGGATACCCCCATTCACACCCTTCGAGGTGGTTGCCAGGATTTGCCGTAGTCGTTAAGTTCTCTAGAAGTGGACCTTAAGATACCCTGCAAATTTCAAGTATCTAGCACATCACCTTCTAGTGGAACAGACAGACACGAGGTCGTTTGCATAAACCCGCTGGATAGCTTTTTCAAAGCAGAAGGGCGGGCTAAAAAGGCCTAAAAACCGCAAAATAGAAAGGAAACTCTCCGCCCACCCGCAAAAAACGTTTTCTAAGCAGAAGGGTGGGTTGTAGTCGCGGTGCTTTACGGTTACATCCCTTCCTCGAGTCTTTGGGGCAAACTCAAAGACAACGGGTTTAAGCGGGCCGAAGGCCCGCTCACTCTAAATGTTGAAATGACAATTTTGTATCTAGGAGAGATGCGTTCTTAAGCACATCTCTAGCGGATGCAAATTTGTATCTTAAATGTTACAACTTGTACCTAGACTAGGTACAAATGACTTTATTTGTGTCTAATTTACGTGCAAATTTGCATCCGCTAGAGATGTGCTTAAGAACGCATCTCTCCTAGATACAAAATTGTCCTTTTTTATTTAGTGTGACCACTGCAAGTGAAGGAGCGACATTTGTTGCTCTCTGGAGAGCGACTTTTTCCATCAGAAAATCTCGCTCTCCTGAGAGCAAGACTAAGTCATCGTTCCAATTGGGTATCCATGGTTTAATGTTGCTCAATTTTAGTACTAATTTTATAACCTCACTTAGCTTCAGTATTAAAACTGAAACCAGACTAACTTTTTGTATCAGATTTAAAAACTCAGTCGATTTACTGTTAATTACACTCTAAATGTCAAGGGACAATTTTGTCCGTAGATTTGCAACGATTTCGTGCACACGCCCCAGAAAGGATGCAATTTTGTTCCTAAAACTAGACAAATTGTGTGAAACTTCACTAAAATATTCGCGGTGTCTAGGAGTTAACTTTGTAAAATATTTGTTAGATTGTACAGTTGAGACCACAAACTAAAATAATACGGATCCTTACCTTATAAATGCATTTTTAAGTGCGGTTAACGAAAAGAACCGGTAAAGGCCGGCCTGTGTTGTTTTCAAACATGACGACCAGAAATTACTCTAACTGCTAGAAAGAAGTAAAGTCAGATTTATTTTTACTTTGAAGTGATCCCGGCCGTGACAATCGACACCCGTCGAAGCTCGCTGTCATCCGCGCCCATAAAAAGTGTGAACACCGATACGTAACCTGATACGGTGCATCTAAACATTAGTCTGAGTCTACTCGTGTGATAAGGCTTTCTGCTCAGACTATAAGCTGGTCAACCAAATCAAGGGATGGGGTCAATGCTTCTATACTGCTTTCAGAGCACAGGAACAAAGTTTCACTGTGAACTTTTAGTACCCTTGTTAGAGAATCAAACAACCCAACCCACCCCAAAGTGTTGTTGGACCGATCATTGATGAAGTGAAATGCTGTTATAAGGTAAGGATCCGTATTATTTTAGTTAGTGGTCTCAACTGTACAATCCAACAATTTTTTTTTACAAAATACCTCCTAGAGACTAAGTTTTCAAATCTAATACGAAAAGTAAGTCTGGTTTCAGTTTTAATACTCTAACTGCGTAAGATTTTGAACTCAAATCTCAAATTTGTCGACATTTAGGTCTTAATAGGGTATTCCGCTGCAACACAATCGGAACCTAAAGAAGAAAAGCGTGACTACCCGATCTGTTTCCCCCTGAACGCTGATTGGCCAAAGATGGCGTGGCTGTGGCGGTCAGCCAATGAGCGTGCAGAGGGAAACACATGGAGCAGTCATGCTTTTCTTCTTTAGGTTCCGGTTGGCTTGCAGCGGAATACCCTATACTGAAAGTGACAGTCCTATAGACTCAAATTGAGCGACCTACACTCTAAATGTCAAGGGACAATTTTGTCCGTAGATTTGCAACGATTTCGTGCACATCCAGAAAGGATGCAATTTTGTTCCTAAAACTAGACAAATTGTGTGAA